GTGGAGATGCAAGCGCGTTGGATTCATTATAGTGAGGAATTCTCATTATAATGACGAAAGAAGTGCGCCGAGGGTCATTCTCACTCTCTCTTCCACCACAGCAACAGGCAACCACCTAGCTGTTGGCCGCCCGACACACGCACACACACTATATCAGGCTCCATCATAAAGTCAGCGTCATTTTTCCATGATTAGATTCTGTGGCTGACCAAGAGTAATGCAGCATTACAACAGAGCTCAATGATTCGGTCAGTCTTGCTGAATGTTGTGTCAGTATTGATCTACTCCTGACATTTTTTGCCCTGAGACCATTTGCAAGTAACCTCTCAACTCCTCTTTAGGCCCGTCTGGCGCTGATGGTCCAAAGGGATACCCAGGTCCCGATGGTTTGGATGGTATACAGGGTGATTCTGGAGAGCCTGGTATCGGAATACGTGGTCCACCCGGAGAGCCCGGAGAAATCGGTCCACCTGGTCCCAAAGGTTCGCCTAACTGCATCCTTATCATCACCATACACTCAAAAATAATTTAGTTTTCTTCCCTTTCTGTGTTTTTACTAATTGCTAATAACTAATTAGATACGGATTAGGAGTATGGGTTGGTGATTGCACAAGACAACAATTATTGATTAACATAGTGCTTAAGTGAGACCTAAGTGCTTTGCCAATGACTCGGACCTGTTACGTACTAACCTCTGACAAGTTGTTTTATTCGCCCATGTATTCAAATGGGCAGTCAATGAAACTGAACAACAGGTCACTAAGCTGCATGCTAGTTTGCCGTTCATTTGCGCATGCTGAGACAATCAATCAGCAGTCTGGTTTTTTTATAAGAACGACTAAATATTGTGTTTTTATAGGTCCGCGCGGGGCCAAGGGCGTACAGGGTGTTCGAGGACCACCTGGAAACAAGGGAACCGGAAGGCCAGGACCCCCTGGAGACCCCGGAGAAAAAGGTCTGCCCGGTCTTGATGGAAAGGTTGGAAAACCCGGTCCAAAGGGAGAACAAGGTTTGTATATTCATGCTGCCTATAGTGTAGTGTTTGCCGAGACAAGAGAAGCCTTTTTGCTTGCATCGGCAAACAGATTTGCTCTTAACTTATGTCTGCCGCCACCTTCAAAAGCCTCTGGGTGTTATGCCATGCAAAATATCTTTCAGGCGTTCCTGGTGAACCCTGCAACGCCTGTAGGCCAGGAGCTCCAGGTCTGAAGGGTCAGAAGGGCGAATCCGGCATGCCCGGACAATCGGGTCCTAGAGGACGTGACGGACCACCAGGAGAACGGGGTGAGCCGGGACCAGACGGAAACCAGGGTCCTGAGGGACCTCGAGGTCTTGAGGTAACTGTCATACCTCCCTTCAATCCCCCCTAAACTCTCCGCCACCCTGCCAATTTCACACAATTCCTATGCATTCCTTCCTCTAGGGAGACCCTGGCGAGCGAGGAGTTATGGGACCGAAGGGCTTCAAGGGAGTTTCTGGCGAGTCGAGGACCGAGTATGTGGATGTTCTGAAGGGACAAAAAGGCTACCCTGGATATCCTGGACCGGAGGGCCCCAAGGGCTTTAAAGGT